TTTTGCAGGGGAGAACAAGCCTGGTCCTCTGTGGTTGCCACGGCCCCCTGCAGTGGAAGGGGGACAGCCCCAGCTCTCCTCACTCTTCCTGTGTGATTTGAGTCCATAAACATCTCCTTGGAAAGACCCTCCCTGACCACCCTGCTTTTGCTATTTCCTTTCCAGGGCCCCCTGATCTCTACCCTAATATTCATATGTATATATTTTTTTCCTGTTTACTGTGGATCCCTTCCCCTGGCTATGATGTGAACTCCCTAAGTTTCTGTCCACCTGGAAAAGGCCAGGCACATAGAACGAGCTCAGAAATGTTCATCAATACGTGAACAGGCTAACATTTATCCAGTGTACATTCTGTACATATTCTGCTGGGAGCTGGGGTTACAAGTGTGCTTAAAGTGAAGGCTTCCTTAGTTAAGCAGCTATGCCAGGGACACCCCACTGCAAGAGAGGAAACCTCCTTCCCTCCCTCTGCAGGAAGACTCGCTTCTATAATCATACCCTCAGCTACATAGAAGTCCCTGCAAAAACAGGGCAGCAGACACACAACTTCCCCCAACACACACCAATGCTCACTGACAATGACTCCATGCTGATGCATGTTCCCAACCCAGCACATACATCGATGTGCACCTCCTACAGGGCTTCATCTGAGTGACGCAGGCCATACACATGGTTTCTGGGGAAAGACGGATACAGTATCCATCAACATGTCCCAGCTGGCCTGCCGCAGAGACCTCTGCTCAGTGGGGAACACACGCTTCCTCCACCTCTGCTCTAGTTTATCTGCTGTCACAGTGGTGACTCCCTATCCTCTTTTGAACAAAAGTCTCCAGGCAAATAGGTGCTTGGCATAAGCGTGCCACTTTTAGCAGCTAACTTCGGACGAGTTTGATTAACTTCTCAGGGTCACAGTTTCCTCATTCCTACTTGGTGGATGCGAGAAGTGACATTACATAAAATGGTCTAGAACAGGGTCTGATCCATGGTTTAATAAATGTGGTGGTTGAGGGTGATGTTGAGAGGAGAGTGGAGTGATGGTGTAGCATTAAGATAAATGCACTTTCAAGAATGTTCTAGGACCGTCAGTGTAAGAGCTTTCCAGCTCTGTCTGCTCAGAGAACCTAGAAGCAATGCTACCCCTGTAACAATAACTACACCTAGTGAGTGGACCTTGGGTTCTAAATACCATTCTCCACTGAAAGAAACCAAAGCTCCTTGACAGAATGCTAATTCCACAGCTGGGGCAGAGAAAGCACAAGATGGAACCAGACTGTGTTGCTGTGCCAACAAGTACAAAGGTACACAAGGCACAATGGAGAAACGTTAAAAAGATACCAGAGCTGGGGCCATCAGGTGGCGTGGCGGTTAAGGGCATTGAACTCCCACATGGCTGACTGTACTTTGAGCCCTGGACCTGGCAGCTTGCTTTCTCGCTTTCCCTCCCTCTCTCTCTTGCTCTCTCGCTCTGTCCCTCTATAGTCAAAATTTAAATAAATAAAGCTAAATAAAATAATTCTTAAAAAAAAAAAAAAGACACCAGAGTCAGCTGCCACTGGACGACTCTAGGGCAACTTAAATATCAAAATAACTACTGATAGCAAATGATTAATAAGACATATTCAATATGGTTAAAATCTGAGTCCACACTAATATAAAGAAAGGAAGAAGAAGGATGGGACTGCACAAGGGAAGGAAAGATGAATAGAGGAGGGAAAGATTTTTTCAGTGGAAAGCCAACTAACAAATGAAAAAGAAATGAAATGAGAAAAATCACCATTTGGCAACCATGATAACAATAGACTGATAAGAACAGGAATCACCCACGGATGCTAAAACGAAATGCCAGCAGGCTGAGGAACACAGGCATTTGCACAGTCTCTGAGTTTTTCCACATAATATACTTACAGTTCTAGTCCACTCGCTGTTAACAAGAGAAAAACACCAGAAACTGGACGATTTGTATAAACAGAGGTTTATTTAGCTCATGGTTTAAAAGTCCAAGTCCAGGGCCCTCATCTGGTGAGGGTTTTCCTGCAGTGGGGTCCCAAGGCCAGCAGGGCATCACATCACCGGGGCCAGAGTAGAACACCGCAGCTGTGTCTGTGTGTCACTTTCTGGTCTCCTTCCCTCTCCTTATAAACCCACGAGAACTCAGTCATGGGCCCCTACCCTAAAGACTTCCAACCCAATCTCTTTCCAAAGACCTCATCTTTGAACACCATGGAATGATAAGGTTTTTACTCTCTTAGTTCCGTCGTAGCCAAATCTCAACACATTAATTTTGGGGAGACATACAAGCCAAAACACTATTCATTACAACTATGAAATAGTAATCTGCAGTGAAGATGCCTGATAGGTCCTGCTTCACCCTGGGATTCAAGCTGACAGCACCAGTAGTGGGAGAGACTCATCTCAAATCTCCCAACACAACTGACGCTAAGAAGGACACAGCATTGCTTCTGTGCTGGTCTGTCAAAGCGTGTGATCTACATGTAATTGTGACGAAACATCAAACAAACCCAAACTAAGGGGTCATCCTGAAAAAGAATTGGCTTGACTTGTCATAGAGGTCAATGTCCCAAAACACAAGATTAAGGAAGTTTTCCAAGAAAGATACATGCCAGTTGGATTTTCTTTTGTTCTGTAGGACTTCAGTGGGGCAATCAGTGAAATCCAAGTAAGGTCAAAAGATTAGATAAGACTATGAAATAAATGTTAAGTTTCTGACTTAGTCGTATTGTGGTTATAAGACAATTTTCTAAGCACAGGGGGAAAACCAGAGAGAAAGAAAAGGGATATATGATAAAATGTTCAGATTTGAGGGGTCTGGGTAAAAGAGGTCCAGAAACTTTTGGCTATTCTTTCAACTTTTCTATAAATTTACAATTATATCATAATAAAATAATTGAAAAAAAGGAATGCACAGTTCATATGACTAGGAAAAATGAACGCATATAGTGCTTAGTACATTGTATGTACCCTATTATTTAAAGGTATAATAATTATAATTACAATAAGCCAAATAATGCATCTGGCAGATAATAAGCCACAAATGGATGGAAAATATTATCATTGTCATCAGCATCACCACCATCATCATTTTTTATGTGCTTGCTTACAAGAAAGAACTAAAAAATTAATACCATAATTAGTGTTACTTATAATTACTTAATGTCTGCATTAAACTCCATTCTTTACAGGTATGCTATAGAAACACTTGTGTGAAATGCACCCAGCTTTCCACCTGCAATGGTGAGGTGCTTGTTTGCCAACCAAGAGAAGAGATGCAATGCATTTACAGGTCTAGATCTGCAGAATCTATATCAATGGAATACTTACTTTGTTCTTGCTAGTTCCATAACCCAGGGATAAGAAAGTCCAGTTGCTAAATGTCCAGTCTGGGGTCTTTACCCAGACATTTTGGCCACATAGAATATCTTCTCTGGCTCCTCTTGGGTCCCATACATAAAAACTATGCATCTCAGTGATTGACCCCTGCTATTTCTCCCCAGCTCTGACTTATGCAACAGTAGAACCTCTTATTATACCCCAAGTCTATCTGTCCAAGATGGTGGGGCTCCCACCAGGCCCAAGGCCTCCCCACCAGTCTGTTGCAAACAACTAGCTGTGCTCGTCCTGATTCTGGGACATTGTAAGTTCCCATTGTCATTGCGTTGTTTAACAGAAACTTTCAACTTATGACCATGACTGCTCACCTTACTATCTTTTTTTTTCCATTCTTCCTCATTCTTCTAGGACTGGCAGACAACATGTCTTAAGCTCCTTTTCTTCCTCTCTGTGTTTCTCACCTCTCCTGAGTCCATCTTTCCCCTTGGGAACACTGTGGCTATTGCCTCTTCTCCTTTACAGAGACTCTATATGGTGTGAGACCATAGAAGTGCTCAAGTTTCTGTCTACAACTATCTCTTTGTACACATAAAACTAGTAAGTAACAAGGCCCAGGTAGTTTAATTTCTATATGGAGTCATATACAGAGACCACTGGATTTTCTTTTGCTGTGTAGGACTTTATTGGAACAATCAGTGAAAGACATTTTAATAGCACTTCTATTCACAGATGGTTAGATATGTGCTCAATCGATAATCACTCACGTATACACACACACTCACACTCACTCATACCAACCTCCATTCTTCCATTATGGTTGTAATCATGCCCAAGCCAAGCTGGAACCCGGCAGAGTGAAGTGACACATGGCAGAGTGACTACCATTTTCCCAAGCCAGTTTCCTGTGATGATGGAAATGTTCTCCATCTGCTCTTACAGTCCTGTACAGTAGACTCTAGCCAGCCACATATGACATGTGTAAGTGTGACTAAGAACTTCTAACTTTATTTAATTTTCATTAATTAAAATTAAAATAGCACTTATGCAGCAGCTCCCTGCAGACAGTTTGGCTCTGGACCAGGTTGGCACCCTAGGGCTTTGCAGTCACAGGGCTTCTGTCACAATGACTCACCTCTGTTGCTGTCGTGTACAGGATTACCTCCAATTGGAGACAATCCCTGTACAAACGTGTGTGGCTGTGTGCCAGTGAACCTCGCTTACAGAAATAGGCCAGGCCAGATTCATCCTATAGGCTGCAGACTGCTGATGTTTGCTCAAGGACACACCAGAGTGTCACGCCAGGCTTTCTTTGAGGTGACAGAGAGACTTGCCACCCAAAAGGATGCCCCCAAGCCACATTCTTAGTTACTACTTCTCATGAGAATTCAAAAGCTGTCCTTCAAAAGGCTGTCTTTTTAGGAAGGAAGAGAAGTGCCTGATATTCTAAGAGGTCTACACTTTCTCCTGGACATAGACTATATTCCCTTCCAGCAGCACTGCTCTTTATGGAATAACTCTGAAAGAGCAGGCAATGTTTCAGAGAGACAGAGAAATGGGAGCATCTCTCTCCTTCCCCTGCAATGTAATCCAAGAACAAACACAGAAAGGACAGCACACCTCACTCACACAGACAAGCTCAGTGAGTCACTTACCTCACTGGGCTAAGTCGCTGTCCACTGCTGGTCCTCAAACAGAACTGCACTGACCAAAAAGCTCAGGGAGATGCTCACCACAGCTCTTAGAGATGCCAATTCCTGCTTGGCATTTCCAGTCCAGGAAGGCAGAGTCCGAAGCTGGTACCAGCTGAAAGGAAGAGGAGAAAGGGCTAAGTTGGTTTTGACATTCAGTTCGCCCGCTGCTATTTTCAGATGATTCAAGACCATGAAAAGGCATTGACCTACTTGTCCACCCTCGTTCAGTTGTTTACCCACCAAGATTGTTAAATGAGCACCTATTCTGTTCTAAACACAGAGCCATTGCCAGAGACAGGAAGGTGAGTAACTCAGAACCCCTGCCATCAAGCACTCAGCCTGGAGGGAAAAATAGACAAACGTAGAAATAGTCGGGAACCAGCAGTTAGCGTAATGGCTATGTCACTGGACTCCCACGTAGTCGACTGCGGTTTGTGTCCCGGACCCGGTGGCTTAAAACTCACGCCAGGCGCGTGTGCGTGCGTGCCCAAGATCCCGAGAGGAGAATGGAGGAGAAGGGATTGCGGCATGACCATCCCCCCTGGGGGGTGATTTCTCGCTTTCTGTCTCTATGTCTCTCTCTGTCTGTCTGGCAAGTGCACGTGCCCTATAGCGAAAATCTCTCCAAAAAAAAGAAATAGTTCAGAGTCATGTGACACAAGTATGTGAATGGCATTTAGAAGAACTGTGGAATAAATGACCTGTTCAGTCTGAACAAAGGATCTGAAAAGCGGACAGTATTTTTAGCCACTGCTTGAGCAAGGCCTAAGTGAGATGCTCCTTGGCAGAAACAAAAGGTCTGGGGAAAGTGTCTCCAAGAAGGAGGAAAACAACCATGTAAGGCATGAAAGTGAAAGTGTGAGGTCAGGGCTAGGGGTAAATCAGCCAAGGCCAGACAGGAAAGGGCTTCTGAAGACTTTGTGTCACAATAATAACAACAGCGGAAACGCTCAGTCCCTCTCCCAAGCACTGAGAGATAGCACACCGGATACATTGGCATCACATCCTCTCAGGAAATCCCTGATCATTCCGCACCACACATGGGCAGCTGAGGCTTAGCGAGTCTAGGTGTAGGCTTGCCCAAGATGACAAAGGCAGTCAGTGGCAGAGAAGAGACCCCAACAGAGGATTCACCGCAACAGAACCAATCTGTCTGGTTCCAAAATCTTCATCATAACCGTTATTGTAGCAACAGCCCCAGTTTGTTCAGGCCACCTCATGCACACCTCATGCAGCGTGGCTTTGCTTCTCCCAACATGGGGTGGAGTTCATTTCTCCACCTTCTAGTCTGAGCTTGACCATGTGACTTGTTTGGCGATGGCACAATAGCAAATGTGACAGGAATAAAGATTAAAAAGAGGGGACCAGCAGTTAGCATAATGGCTGTGTCACTGGACTCCCAAGTAGTTGACAGCAGTTCGAGTCCCAGACCCAGTGGCTTAAACTCACACCGGACGTGTGTGTGTGCGTGCCCAAGATCCCAAGAGGAGAGTAGAAGAGAAGGGATTGCGGCGTGGCCATACCCCCAGGGGGTGATTTCTCGCTTTCTGTCTCTCTGTCTCTCTGTATCTTTCTGGCGAGTGCATGTGGCCTATAGCAAAAACCTCTCAAAACACACACACACTCACACAGTAAGAATCAAAAATTTTTAAAAAATTAAAAAGATTAAAAAGTGTTCATGCATAGAATTTCCCTTGTCTTGCTACTGGGAATGCTTCTGCTACCAGGTTGCAAGTCTGAGTTTACTTCCCTGGAGGGTAAAAAACAACGTGGAGAAAAATCTAGAGTATCCCAGACTCTCCGGGCTTATTGCTGAGGCTCTCACAGGCAGTCAAGCCCTAGCCATGATCACAAGACCAGAAGAAATGTCCATAAACCCACAGAATCATAACAAATAATACATGTTTGCTGTTTGAAGGCACTGCGGGTTGGAGCTATTCGTTATGCAGAGACAGCTAACCTATACAATCACCAAAGTATCTTTATACCACTGGCAATGCTGATACAACAGAATAAACTTGTACGTTGGGAAGAAAACCTGTGTTGGTTACTGTCAAGAGATGATGAGGGATAGAAGGCAGGCTGATGGGCAAAAGGACCTGTGAAAAACTTAAGAGCTATCTGGATGCAGAATGAACAGTATTTAGGGACAGATGAAACCCAGATCTGTCTGAAGGTGTCTGTATGGCTCTGGTAAATATGCATGGTATTGACTATAAACAGATTCTGTTTGGAGTCACTGACAAGGGCAGGATGTTTACATGAGAGATATACAAAGGCGGCCAGAGTCAGAGCAGTGTCTCTCAGGATAGAAGCAAGAAACTGAAATGAGAGTTAAGGCAGGGGGCTCACTGCCACAGCCTGCTGGCCACTCCTGCCATTCTCACCTCCTGCAATGCCAACACCTGCTCTCAGCAGCAACCAGAGGGATCCTCGTACACTGGAACTCTGACCTTCCTCCCTCCCACCTCCAAAGCACAGCATCTCCTTTCTCTCAGTACTTCCTACTCACCCTTCACATTTCAGAATAAAGGAACTTTCCAGAAACTTCTTTGCTGATGACCCAGACTGGCTGAGCACTGCCACCTCAGCGCTCAGGATTCCTTGCACCCCACAGAGTTTATCACTAGCTTGTGACCTCCACAAAGGCAAGGGTGTGCCTGCCCTACATACCATGGTGTCCTCAGCATCTAGCGCGATGCGCGAAACCTGAGAGAAAGTCAGTTACTTTTCCTTGAGTGAGAAGACACAAAGCAATTCAGGAATCACACTTACAAGATGCGTTTTAGCCATGACCATTTCCAAACTTTATGCCGGGTTAGGGGGCCTCACTTTGGGCTGATGTGGCTTCCTGTGCCTATCTTCATCCTTGTGTTTACTCATTTATACTTTCATTTAGCAATAATGTTTTTTCTTTTTCTTTTTAACTTACATTTAACCACTGTACATCTTTGCAGTATATAACCTGGCTTTTCCCAGCACGAATACAGTGCATATCAGCCAACACAAAGACATTACCATATGTATTATCATCAGCAAATAACTTTTCACTTTTGTGTCAATTAAACATATTGTTTGTTTGATTTTTCTCAACCCCCTCCCTTCCCCTATTACCTAGACTTTAAAAGCACCAGACATCACCTTGATCCTGTTGTCGTTGCTCTCACTGGACAAAGCTCTCAGAGATGGTGGAGGGTGGCTGCTTTACTCCTTACTAAATTTCCCCATCCTGGCCTCCACTGGCTATGCTATCAGGATGCGAGGTGCTCAGTAAAGATTGCTGAATGCTAAACAAATGAGTGAATGGGTGAACAAGAGACAAGCTTCAGAATATCAGTTGGGATGCGGCTGATTCATAACTTAACAGTTTTGGCTGATTTACAGCTGTGATAGCTTGGTATAATCTAAAAACCTGCATGCTTATTTGAGTATGTGGGGATATAGATTGTTCTGTGCTGTAAGACAGAGGAGAAACTGGAATTAAACATGGAGCCCTGTAGTCAATTCAGCCTCAGGTCTCTGACCTCCCGGTCTGGTGCCCATGGCCACCTGTGATGTTCAGTTTTAGCCTAAGAGTCTCCTTGCAGTAATGCCAAATCCTGAACCTGCTCTTTCACTGACCTCCAACTGGCTCTTTAAAAATCACATAGCAATAGTGTTGGGTTGCCAACCCCAACCAGTGAGCTGGCGGCCATGTTCCCAGCAGTGGCAGCAGGTGCTAGCTGATGCTGCTTTGGCAGGCCAAGCCACATGAGAGGCTGGGGTTCAATTCCTGGCACACCCTGAGAACGTGTCATCTGTAGTTCTGGCTACTTGTGAGGCTTATGAAGGAGGGTGTGACATATTAAGACTTTGTCTAAAACAAACAAACAAAAAAGTGCTACCATCTTTGAAGTCCCATCTTGAAAACTGTCTCTTCTCTGGGGCTTTTCCTGACTGTCCTATTTTATTATTTATTTCAAGTCCTACCAGAAAGGTGGGTGTTTCTATACCCAGGGCACAAGTGGGGAGACTTGCCAGGAAGTCACTTGCCCTGGATTCCATGCTAATAAATTGTAGGCCTGTACTCCAGAGCCCATCCTCACCCCGGCTTCACTTTCCCAGAATAAGGTATTGCCTTGGCCAAACTGTTGGGTAAACTAAATCGGCCTTCATAAGAGTGAGAAGTTGGCAGGCCAAGCAGCTCCTCTGAGACTCCATGTCCACCCAGAATCAGCTCCTTACTCAGATCTGGGAGGATTGTGAAATTCAGATGTGTTTGTTTTCTGGAAAACCACAGCCTAATTAAGGAGGCATAGCTATGTCCTTCTGAACGAACTTTTATGCATGACAAGAAAGAAGGGAGAGGGAGGAAGGAAAAAAAGAGACAAGGAAAGAAGGAATAAAGAAAGGAGGGAGGGAAAGAAGAAAACTTCTACTCTTTTTTTTTTTTTTTTTTAGC